TGCAAGTCTAAACTATAGTTGACCCATATAAATACAATTACTCGAGTGCAAATGCAAAACGCATTACAACAACGACACAGTGACTCACATGGGATCGATATGGAGATGACTGCTATTATAACAATTATACTGGATTCGGAATCGCTTCGAAGCAGTGCGGGCTGCAAATTACTATGTTTTATTGACAAAAACACAGACATGCACGCGCATCTGTTGTGTATCAATATGCGATCCTAAAGGTTGTGCATAATTTAGTAAGGCCAACCAAAGGAAAGCAAAATGTTTGGAACGTGAGTTATCACCATTTCATAGTTGTTTGGCCAAGACATTGGGATGTTCGTGTCGTTCTTGATAGCTGTTAGCATGATTTACTGCCAACCACTGCTTAACCAATTTGACATTATCACAACTAAATACCAAAGCTTCATTTAGTGGTTATCGAATACAACCTTTTTAGTTGCGATAAGATTATCGCCCGCCTGAGTTCGTTCAATTAAAATGACCTAAACAGGGCAAGGAAATATACAACATTCAGGGTAATGTTATGACTTGATGGGTCATTGGTCGCTATGCAAAAGGTGAAAGAAAATATATCTATTACTAAATATATAAATGTTCGTTTATATTTATTATGCTAATTGTTATTGAAAGAAGACTTCATGCAAGGATTATCCTTATTTTAGGAACTATTACTGTTAATAATAGCGACAAGAACGAACAAGATGTCTCTGTCTACATGCATAGCCCGCTGCTGTCGCCACCGCCGTAAAAGTATGTGCGCGAGATGGAACGAGCCTGCCGAAAGGCGATGATCAGTATCTGTTCTTTTTTCCTTTCATCTCCTTTTGCGCCCGATTTCATTCGTAGGAACTAATGTGCAAGTGTACATATTTTCACACATGTGTTCGCGATTGCAATCGATTAATAAACGCCAATATGCTTGCTTGCATGCGCGTTGCCAGTTCTATTGCCGATGCAGATTGGTAGTCGTAATAAACGCGGTAGCCATTTTCACCATCGTCCCTGCTGTCACGCGCTGGATTCAAGAATTTCTAGGTGAATGTCCTCTGAGCAGCCACGAACTTCAGCAGCAGCAGTAGCCTCAGAAGCACCTGCAGCAACAATAGCTATGGCTGTGGCTCCAAAGCAAATCTAACGAGAAGCGCAGATTTGCACGGGTTCCACGCTGACGGTGGCTGTGACCCGCCGTTCCTATTGCCACTACTGTCGAGTGGAATACAGACGACCCGATCGTTGTTCTGTTCAAATGTTCACACAGCAGTACAGCAGCAAAAACAACAGCACACACTTAGGTCTTATCACTGGTCACAGGCGACGAAGAAGCAAAGTCTCCTCACTGTTGCTGCTGCCCATCAGCGATGGTTCCGGTAGACCGCGGAAATTTGCAAAAAAAGAAATTTTCAAACTGTCAGTCACTGGTTAGAAGGAACTAGCTTGTTTTACTCAAACTAATAGAACCACAAGGGCCAAGAGTGACGTTCTAATAATTGAAGGGAGGAAGTTAGTGGAGCAGAGAAGAAGTCACAGCAACGCGCGAAAAGGTGCTCACCAGCCAGCCTGTTTGCCTGCTCACAACACACACGGCCAGCTTCACTCACTACGGCCGCCGCTGCCGCCCAGTAACTCGAGTAATCGGCTCGACTGGCACGCAGCCAACAAACGGAATTGTCGACCGACATACGCACATGGCGCACGTTTCAATGTATATATACTACAAGCGAGATATGAGGACGACACGGAGCATCAACAAGCCGTAGCCGTAAGCAAGAACGGACGGTTGACGGTATGACTGACTGGCTGACTGACTGACTGACTGGTTGACATGGTTCTGTGGTCACATTGGTTTTACGATAAGGAGCGGTGGTCCTCACCATGGCTCCAAGGCATCACCATGGCGACGGCGGCGACGATGATGATAATGTTTTTTTGTAACCAGAAGACTGCAAGGTGGCAACAACAGCAGCATCTGCTGTTGTATCTGTTGTTGGGAGTGATGGTGTTTTGACAACTGTTACGAAACATATCGTGACGAGATAAAAGCTGCTCTTTTCGTAATGACCAGCAAATTAATTTATGTATTTGCTGTGGCTCTTGGGGGAGTTAGGTGCGCTTTTGAGCGGAATGACGATAATGCATATAGCACTGTTGCTTTTCTTTCTGTTATTTTCTGTTTGTTACAACGCGACCGTGTCAAGTTTCAAATACAGCTAATGCCAGCTAACAACTACTTGCTTATGTGACTGGCACGTTTGGATCGAAAGATTTCTCATGAATAAAAACAAGACGTTCCGTTGTTGCTCATGAAGGCTATAACGAAAGTTAGCATTTTTATTATGGCAGAAATTGACCAAATGTCGTTTAGAGTTTATATGCCGTTTAAAAAAAAACTATTATGTCCTTTGATTGTGTTAGATTGACGTTAAAGGGGTGACTCAACATATGTTAATCGTGCTGCTAAGCTCGACAAAAGCGACCCATATCTGAACCGACCATCCCAGCTAATCAACTAACAATTGCCACATCAAACGAAATAAAGGCCATGTACTTAATAACGGAAACAACAACAACAGGAGCATGTCGTTACATAAGTAAAGCCCCTAGATACGATGCTACCTGCCCTGCTTAGCTTATATTTACCTGTCGGTTATCCTTCTAATTTTGACTGTCGTCGTGAAGAACGCCTTCGATTCCAGCTACAGGCCAAGAGAGGGATTAAATTTTCCGTTTTGTTACTGTTCAAAGCCATCGTCGCACTGCTATCGCCAGTGTGCTTCTATCCTTTAGGCCGCCTGCTAGTATTCTAAAACCGCTGCTGTTCTGCGTTTCCCCCGCCTGTTTTTTTATCGTGTGGACATGATCATGTCAGCTACCGCCGTTGTTGATGTCGGCGAGAAGATGGTGCTGGGCACACATTGGATTATGGCATCATGCAGCTCCGACCCTATATGCAGAATCAGAATTAGAAAACCACCATCATGTTGATATTTTTGCTGTTAATATGTAATGGAAAAATATAACGATATAGAAGTTTCATGACCAGCTGCTGCGGCTTCTATTTGTATAGGCAGAGCACCAGGGTCTTGTTAGTTTATGCGCTTACTTTTTGATAAAGCCCAAAGATAGATTATCTATTGAGTTTAGGATGTATACTGTTACTATTAAGTCGGCAATATAGCATGCATAAGTAATTTTCAGAGATACCTTAATGAGAGGATAAAGCCTCAAGGCTGTGGGAATATGACAAAGCTTTGTTGCGTTAGATATTTCAGCTCTTGTTGATCTATGTGAGGCTTTGTCTATATGTACATACATTAATGTATAACAGCAGTACGACAGTGGAACAGTACTGTTAGTAGATATCATTCGAAGCTTGATAGCGACGCAGAGGTCTACCCGGACTTTGCTGTTGTCTTAAGCATCGCAGTCGAAAGCGGTAGCGAATTCGGATAATATCGTGAGATGGAGACTGTAGGTTATAGCACCTGCCTTGTGTCTATCCTGAGCTACTAGCGCTCAGCGTCAGCAGATATCAGCCATCCGTGATAAATCGTTTTGTGCATGGCAGTTAATGATCCAATGCAATTAATATGGCCATCTATCCGTGTTGCTAAATGCAGCAGTATCTACAACAGCACATTTCCATCCAAATGTCCATCGATCTATGTCACGCACGACACATCGGATGGTCCGGGCTGGTAGTTGAAAAAGAATTTAAACGATACACGTCATCGACAAGACGACAGGACATTGAGATGACCTAGGATTTTTCCGCGGATATTACTTTACGCCTTCTTGAGACCTGTTCTTAAACCGTCTATTGGACAGTATAACCTGTTGCCTTATGTGGGTGCTCGGTCGTTTCGACGCAATGTTTCTCTGTGACTATGAGTTCACGTTGACTTATAGGTGCTTAAGGCGTCTTTAGATAAGTAAAGCAGAAGCTGTTCTTTCTTGTAGTACACGAAATGGGTGTTCCGTAGAAATATTATTTGCCGCTTGAGCCTAAAACTAGAACATTAGTTGACAAAGAATATCTACAAAATCATAAACTATATCATGTTTTTGATGTACATTTAATTATGCTAATGCCAATTTTTTCGCATTGTTTTCAGTGACAATTCGATTCCATACAAATAAACGTTTTTCGCTAAGAGCAAAGATAATAAAGGTCCAATCAATGACAGATTAGATGGTCGCTTTGGGTGACAAGTAGGGTAATTTTATCGAGTTACAACGTTTAATATCTCCGGTAATCTAAAATACGTACACCATACATACACGGACAGTGTAGTTTTGAATTATTTCACGACCAATTTTCAGTTATTTCAAGTCGCCGCTTGAGATCTAGCACAGTCACATTCACGGTAGATACGTATCATTGAACAAATTGATGAAAAACAATAACTATCTACAACCCTAGGGGAACAACCAGTAGAGTCTATATATTATGATCATGTCAATAAATATTTCGCTCGTTTGTTTGAAAACATGGAAAGCGAGGTACAACATTAGTTTAGTATACTGCTTGTGCTGGACAGTTTACACATGCCGTGATTTCTAGATCTTTTTTATAAGGGGGTGTATTTAATTAAAAGTTATGGTTCGCTTTAAGATTTTTTGTCCTAAACACTAGATATGTTACTTAATTTGCAAATTTATATCTGTATGTACCGTTTAATTTACTCAACAAAATGACTACTTCGACTCAAACATAAATGGTAGTCTTTGAATAAAATTCTTTGACGGCCTTCATTTTGTCTTATTTGTCCGTATTCTTTGTAAAACGTTTTGTAGTTGAAGGTTTTTAAAACTTTCAACTGAGGTACTGCACGGGATGATCTGAGTGATGATACCTGGGTGACAACGGCTCGAATACGGTCAAACGCGAATCGAATTTGAACGTGTCTTTATATCGCTGTTTATATGCCGTGTGTTCCTTTCCACTAACCATAACGACCTTAACTGTCAATTAATTGCAGGTTCTCAATGACGACCAGTTGACGTCACTGATTCTGAAGGAAAAAGAGATTTGGGACGTTTTAGGGGTCGCGCGTAGCCTCCACATTATACGACTAGACGAGTCTCGATCGGCTGTTATCTTCGGTGAGGATCGGGACCACCTGCAAACGGTAGTCAGTCGCCTCGTGCCACGATCTTTGCCACCCGACCATGTTAGGAGCTACCTGGCGCAGATGTGCGCCATCTGCGAAGACCTTCATGCGCGAGGCTTTACACTTCAGGGCGCACTGCAGCTTAGCTCGTTCGCACTCGACAAATGCGATCATGTATTCCTGCTTAGTTCAACCGGCGTCCAGAAGGCGAGTAACTGGCGGCCGGTAAGCCTCAACCCGCAATATACCGCCCCCGAGGTGTTACGGCAATCGTTACAGCTGCGTGAGGACGTCCTCGAACACCAACGGCTGCATCAGGCTTCGCCCTTTTCCACTCCGTACAACTCCTTCTCCTGTGATACATGTAAGTGATGGAATTTTTTATAGTGCTCACTAATTAGCAGTAGGAACGGAACGACTATATGGTACGCGCAGAGCTAATCCTTTTAGACGTGAGATAGCTTGCGTTGCTATATGTTTATATACGGGGTCGTGTATCGATTGTCGCTGGGCTATAATAGTGAGTTATCACAGTAACATAGCTGAGTTAATATAAATATTCGTTATAGACAGATTGTACCCTAACGAAGTCTTCCGTCAAGGTAACGTTTTTCGTGAAGCCGCATATGTACGAAGGAGACGATAACGCTTAAACCTAATTGTATGTTTGAACAGAGAAGAAAGATTTGTAGGGCATATAGTAGTATAGAAGCACAATTCCACAAACGTATCTACAAGGGTAGATTAAGAAGGAAGAGAATTAGAAGAAGATTAAAGAGAAGGGTGGCAAAAAGCAAGGAAGGCTATTCGTTCACAAAACCCTAAGTTGACAAACACTTGTGAACTATATATTTCATGCAGTTGAGGTTAAAGCTGAAGGCTTGAGACACCACATGGTACTATTTACGTTCATTGACCTTTAGCTCCAGTGTTCAACCAGAACGAAAACCTAGCGAAAAAAAAAATAAAACAGGTCTGACTGTTCGCCTATATGCCTGTTCGCTTGTCGCACCATTATTGCTGCCGGTGTTCATTTTTTGTGCAAAATTCTGCCACGCTATATATGAGAGCTGCTAGGTTATTTATTGTATGAACAAGCGTCTTATATTAATTATAAGTGTTTTAAATACGACAAGCCCAGTTTACTAATTGTTCATCAAAGTCTATAAACCTCTCAAGACGCATGCTCGTATCAGCATAAATAAATAAAAATGCAGCTGCAAACGCCAAACTACCGAGCTGTTGAAGCGAGATATTAAAATAATTAAAGCGAACTTATTGATTACTGTCTTCATGTAGCATGGCCAAGCTAGTTTTAAACGGCATAGCTGATTTGTAATCAATGGACCAGCACGAAAAATTAATAGGTAAAACCGCCGTTTTGACCTATAAGCGTTTTCTGCGACCTTCACACACCTCACGCGTTTTTCCTTTTAGAAGTAAAAAAAAAAATAAAGAACAGTTTTAGCAGAAACAGTTGCTTCTGTCCTGTGCGCGCAAGCCAATGGCCCTTACCTACAGATTCCAAGCTCTAAAGGTAATACGGCAGCATAAAGTAGGGGCAGTGCGAAAATATGAGAGGCAAACAGATACCCCTTGATGGAGTGTTTTCAAGGATAAAACGATAAGTATAGTTTGCTTTGCTTACGACGCGTATAACTGGAGCTGCTAACTGTGATAGAACATTTGCTCATGTATTGAGCCACTAGAGAAAACTAAATTAAATAACAAATAACGAGGCGGTAACGTATCACATGTAATTTTCACCATGGCCCATCATTACATTGCGTCAATCTATGGGTTCGAGCATAAAGAGGATAGAAATGTATCCATCTATTAATAACCGTATTATAGTATACTATATGTGGTGACAAAAATTCAAAGCCAATGACTTGATGAATGTTAGCTTTTTGCGACTCGCATTATAGGTATCGAACATCAGCAATAGGCTCGTATAGGTCCTAAATATGATCTTAATAAGTCAGTTATCTCGGAAGTTAAAAAAGAGCTTGTGGTAGAAAACGACGACACAGGTTCTTGGCTTACTTAGCAAACAGCTTTTTAAACTCAACCGGATTTCAAAGCTACCACTTTGCTCAACCTAATTTTGCGGGTAATAGCATACACAGTATCGTACAGCGTGCGTAACCGTTTCGTAATCCTCGGTTAGTAGACGACAAATTCGAGACAAAGTATCAAACATATGATTAGTATTTTAAAGAAAAAATAATGTACATTTCTCTGTATAATTCTGTAAAATGATTTCCACGTACCACTAATAACCCTCAGAAAATTATGTTGACAGAGCTCAGGGTGTCTCGGTCAAGCATGTCTGTCCGTGCAACTGGAGTCCGCCGTTCTCTGCCAAGTTGACATATTTTTGTGCAAAAAAAAATGAACATACAGCTAGAAATGAGCGGAAACTTATGGATCTGAAATTTGAAGTGCTGTGTAAACAAAAATTAAGATAGTTACAAAAACGCGCCTCGAAATACAGCCAAGGGCAGAGCTTTGTCTTGTTGGCCACTGGATCATAAAATTAGTAGGTGTCTCGGTCACAAATACCGAGCGTCTGCCAACAACAGTGTAATCAGTCGTCAAACTCATTTTGAGCCGCGTTCACATCAGTTGCTGCTGTAGTCGGACGTGTCGTCGAATCAGGGGAGGGCAGTCGACAACGGCGACATCAGCAGCAGCGGCGGTTGCCTTCCGTCGAGGCCGCTGTGGCTTCGATAACTTCGAGATTCCGACTCACGGTGGTGATGTGCCGATTTCCTGCTAGCCATTCAGCCAATGTATAGGTTGCTGCGTTGGTACCTCACTCGCCCAGTAGCTTCAATGGCGGTAGTGGTACGCACAGCCATTAGCATCATATTTCACTAGTTACATTAGCACGAGCAGTGATACAGAACGAACTCGTGAAGATAAGTTTTAATTTCAACTTAAAATACAAATAAAAAGGTTAGTGGCAGGATAAAAGGTTCAAAGGGAAACAAGGCAAACAGAATCCAAGATCAACCGAATAACCGACAGCCTGCCATGAGCTAAAACTGTCGTTGCCATTGTTCTAGCAGCGGGGCTTGCCTTCTAGTTGTAACAGACGTAATCTTATGGCGATAGTTGTACTGTACGTTTTAGCAGCAGCAACAGCGGTAGCAGCAGCAGTGAAGGTAAACAGAGCCGTTTGAAGTTATGCTTAACACCTGTACCGGGCGCAAAATTTTGAATATTCTAGTAGCGCAGATCTGCGTTATGGTTGTCGCACCGCTTTTTCGACTGCGTCTTCGCATCAAAAATACGGTATAGGCCATCCCTTGCCTCTTCCCTACTTCCCTCACTCTTACTGTCTCTTCCGGCGCGCGCGAGCTACAGGCAGTTGATAATCGATTTGATCGGCGACATACACTGCTGCTGACGCATGTTCACCCTATATATACATATGTATATTGAGAGTGAAAGAAGAGGGCGACGATGTCATCGTCATCCTTAGCGCCACCGTGTGATGGTGGAGCTGCTGCTGCTACCACATCGTTCGGTATCCCTGCCGGTTCATGTCCACGTATACGAACATATAGAAAAGGGTACAAGATGCAAACCGCAGCCACAGAGGGCAACGACACACAGGGTGCAGGCCTGCAGAAGAAGCCGCAAAGTTCGTCTCCGTATATATGTATATATTTGTACTACATATACAGGTACGCTCACGATCGTTATGTAACGTGGCCGTTTTTTGTGCGCGTCTGCTTGGGCGAAACAACGGCTGACGGAACGATTTCTTTATCCTTTATCATTATAGAACCATCTTGCGTAGTGCTCAAGCTCTCGTTTCCAACAGGTGATATTATAATAGGGTATGGATGTGAAATGGGTACCATAAGCCAAACGGTCCACAAATTCAGCAGAGTTTAATTGGATCCAGTTGTTTCTTGGCAAGATTGGTTAATAGATTCAACCTTTCTATTTTCCATGGGCATTTGTTGGAGGATGAGCCTCGGGATGACAACGGCTGTCGCCGCCCGCAGCCCCGTTCTATGCGACAGTGTTAATGATTTTGATGTTAACGTTGATTATAACGCTGCTAAAGATGATAAGATGTTGCATGCCAGCCTACTATCGCCATTAGGTCAGAACGAGGCAGTCTTTATTTCTTTGTTAGGTCCAGATGACGTGCGGCAGTGTCTCACTGCGCCTCTGGCACAACAGAACAATAACAGCGGCGGCGCCTCGGCAGCTGAGAGCAGTTACCGTCAGCAGGGAGAGAGAAAGAGACGACCACGCACTCATCGATCGTCAGCAGCCAGCCGTGTCCTCAGCAGACAGCGAGGCGCGCGGGCGCGGTGGTAATAGCACCAGCCACAGCAACTGCTATCCATAAGTGACTATCCGAGCCCGTGACGACAACATGAACAACAACAACAGACGGCAACAGAGGCAGTCGTGGTAGATAGGCCGGCCGTCCAGCAGAAGAAGACAGATCTAACCCTGCTGTCGCTGATGCGGAAGGAAGGAAGGAAGGAAGGAAGGAAGGAAGGAAGGAAGGGAGGGAGGGAGGGAGGGAGGGAGCGAGCGAGCGAGGGCCGAAGGGGTGGAAAGTTAGCTGCGAGGAGTAGAGGGTAGCATAGTGGTTGTAGTATATAGGTAAAACAGAATATATGCGTTGAGTGAGTGCAGAAATATCGAACGAGTCAAAACGGCCGATAGTAGGCAGCCACTATTGTTTTTCGACTCATCGGCAAACGGTGCTGCTATAACTACAAACCACTAGAGGCTGACAAGGTGGCTGCAACAAATGATGGCAGTAGCAGATGAGTGTCGACCAGACGACGAGGGCAAACAGGAGGGTGGTATACGCACGGAAAATAGCAGCTAGCCAGAGTCAGTTAGCCAGCTAGACGAAGTAAAGTGAATAGGGTGGCTAGCGACGGCGATGACGACGACAACAATAATAGCAGCAACAAAAACGACAAGCGATGACGATGCTGCTGCTGCCATTGACTGCCAAAAGTGCTTGATGATTAGTTAGTCGGCCGGCCGGCAACTGACAACGTTCCGCTCGCGTACCGTGTACTAACTATGCACTGCCAGCACCAGTAATACCTGGACGTATGTTATGTCAAGGGATAGCTGTAGCTGCACACATTGTCACTTTAAAAATTGGGTCATGCAACAATGATTTATAAGCATTTTCCTCCTCGTAGACTATCATATTATCGTTGCATGGCCAGCGATGGCTGGTAACAATGCTAGCCTCTTTTGCAATTATAATGATGCTAACTGCATCTATCCAAGCTCATGATAATATGATTATCTTTGCTCGAAGCGCAGTCACGACAGGTCATGCCTTTAGTGGATGGTTGTAAGTTATGATGTGGTAGGACGGTTCCATTTGGTTGACTGTGATAATGGCCATTTGTAGAAGTTACTTCAACCAAGTACTCATCATTGTTATGTAGTGGTAACCAGTTTTGGTTTGAATTGTCTTTGTGGCGCTTATCTTTAACGTTTTCATCGGGTTAGACTGACCTCCGTCCACGTTTTAATTCCGTTGACTGGATCGTTCATTGAGCAGCATTCAGAACCTATGAAGCTAAGCAGCTACGTAGTGAACAGGTGTCTGCATATGGGTGAATGATTATATGCTGTAACTGTTTCAAATCCACCATTGTTAGTAGCTGGAATAGTTTTTAATAATAAAATCGTACCGAGTTACCTAAACGACAATAATGCGAGCGGACGATCATTTCACGAAGAAAGAAGTTCACAATTTGGTTGTCGTTTTGTCAAGAATTTTATATTATAACGTATACAGGTACAAATACCTGAAACCCGAGTAGAGATAGACGGAGGTGTGTGATCTCAAATTTTCTGCTTTGTTCGCGTTACAGGCGTGCTTTGATCTCTCACGCTTACATACATTCACACACACACACACACGTAAAAACAGAAAAAGTAATTCGAACTAGAACCAAACTCGTTCTCTAAACCAACTGTCGGACTATTGTGTATATTCTACCCATAATACCTACACGTGTAGTAACGGTAATAAAATACTAGCAGTGGTATAGACCAGAAAACATGCTCCAGCGAATAATATCTCGGGTACTTAGATGAGTAGGTTTGCCACTGCCTTTGCTCAGCCGCGACAATAATACTAAACTTATATTCATTTATATATATAATATATTTTCCTGTTTTATAAGTTGAATTTTTATTGATTTCGATTCACCGATAGCAGCAATTGACAAAATAACTAGTGACTAACATGCTTTGCGTATTTTACTTACATCTGCTGCTATTTCAGTGTTTCATGCCGATGCCTATAGCGTGGGCATCTGCGGATTAGTTATGGCTACTGGGAAGAGACCCTTCCGTATAAATGTTGGACGTTCAACAACGGCTGAGGACTGGATACAAATGACCAATCGGCTTGTTCTTGAGATACCCAGTAAGTACCCACGATAGGCGAGCGTTGATATTAATGACCACGGTGATAATACAGATCCGACTTAGGAGCTTCCATTTGGTACCACACAAGTCAAATGGTCAAAAAGGCTTTGGCTACGGAATTTTCGTTCTTGCGTAGAAATTCAGGATACGTTGTATATAAAATCCTTTGTCTAGTTTTGGAAAGCTCAATTAAATCAGTTAAACTGTCTGTCTAATCCAAGGGTAATCGACAATAGGCAAACGCGTAACGGTCTAAGTTTGGTTTCTATTTTAATATTACATATATTATCATAGTACTCCAGCGAAGTGAAGCGAATGGCTGATTTCTCCAGTAACCGCGGATTCGGCCAAACGTATCAATGTGTTCTTGCGTACGCATGCAGCGAGTGTAACCCTTACGCGATGTTTCTTTGCAGACGATCTCGCCAAAGATTTGAGGTGTCTGCTTTCTCATCTACTACTGTTAAATCCTGAGCGGAGGATGAGTGTCAGTGAAGCCTTACATCATCCTGCACTTCACGCGTTCGTGGGTCATTTACGTAGGAGTCCAACTGTAACAACACCTCCATTCCTTAGTTTTATGCAGACGACCACACCGACGACAGCAGCAACAGCAAAAACAACCGAAAACAGCCAAGACAAACAGCAGCGACAACGGCACGCTATGATTAGCAACGTTACTGTAGACTCTGTTAACACGGAGGTTTTAATTCCCCAGACGATCGACCACACGAGCAATAACAGTAACCGGAACAATAACTGTCGTATTGATCCTGATCCTCTCAGCCTAAATGAGGCCATTATGCCAGCCTCGCCGGAGGGCAGCGATCAGGACGAGGCTTGCTGTGAAGCGAATGAAATATCTGGCGGCCGTGAATGTCAGCAACGAGCAGATATTGACAAGGCGGTTCTTCCGGCGGACCGTGCCGAGCTCGTTACATTTGTTGTTGATGCTGTAGGTAGCAGCAATGGCGACGACGACGACAACAACAATAACAACACTGATGAGACCTTAACATCTCTATCGCTTACCGCATTGCCGATTTCCACCCGACGGGAACATTTCGTTCGCGAGGATATCATACAGCAGCAGCCGCAGCAGAATGCAGTGTCTCCGCAGAAACTTCTGCTCTCTCAGGACCGGCCGACGCCTGACTGTTGTGCCGAGGCAGTGGCGGAGTCAGGCCGACAGGACGGTTTTGTCGTAGCTGTCGAGAATTGTTCACCAACGTCAGTGTCTTCAGTGCGACAACGGTCTTTGGCGGGACACACCGAGGACGTGACACCAGAAGATAGTGACGTTGGATCTGTTGAAAATTGTGACGTCGAGCTATTGCAACAGCAGCAGTGGCAGCAGCAACAACAACAACAACAGGCGCCGCTTCACCAGGAAAACCAATTTCGGCAGCGGAGTGACGGTTACCCCGAACGAGATCGAAAGGAAGCGTCTGGCGTCAGGATCGCTGCTGTTCCAACAACTAGAATTGTTTCCGGTGCCACGGCCGTATCGATTAGCAACACTGCAGCTAAAGGCACCAGCGAACGGACCACACACAAAGCCAATAGCATGTTGTGATGGCCAAAATATAATAGATCTCAAAAAGTAAAAATCACAAAAAAACACTAATACTTTCAAACACATACAAAGCGTGAGACATATGGAATGACGGTGATAGTGAAGACCGAGCCATTATCGACGTCTAATGTGGGTAATTGATGAGGTCGTTGCTAACAATAATGTGAGAAAAAAGCAGATACAGCGAAAGAAGGACCCAGAGAAAAAGAGCGAGAGTGCGAGTGCGAGAGAGATAGAGAACGAGTGAGTGAGTGAGAGAGAGAGAGAGAGCGCGCGGGGGGAGCGAGAGAGAGAGAGAGAGAGGGGGGGGAAGGGACGCGGGGAAAGCGGAGAAACTAGTGAATGGCGAAACAGGAGAAAACGATTTTCCACATACAAACATAATAGTAGTTAGTGATAACAGTAATACATAACTACGATAAACTACATCATAAGGAAGACGACGATGACGATGACGACAACAACAACAACAACAATAGGGACTTGAGGTACCTAGACGAGGAGTAGCTCGAGTTGGAGCAAGTGACACACGTGTAATACATGGATGACACATGCGGAAGACAGGACAAGAGACAATGTTTTCACGATGTTATATACCTGATAAAGGACGCGCATCGCCTTTTTGCGTGGCGATGATGATGATGCTGATGATGATAATGCGGAAGCAGTAAGGTTGTTGCTTGGATCGGCTTGCGATTAAGACCGGACTAAGTTAACTAATATTAATTAATACTATGGATCGTGACGACAATGGGTGTTGATAGCAATTGTCGTTGATGATGCTGATGATCATTGGTGGTGATAAGGTAGATATCAGTGGGCTGTTGGACGCAATATGATGCATGTGACTGATATATGATACAGATATGGAGAACAATGGCAGTGATTGGACGATTGAGGTATGTAGACTCGAATCGTAAGTGAAGGAACAGCAAGAACTAATTGCGAAAACGACACTAAAACAGACAGATAAAGAAAGAAAACGCGGCAGAGAAATATGGACCGCTAATCGGAAAACAGGTGTGAATTACACGTTGAACCTGTGATTCGCCATATTTGTTTAAGGCGCTTAGAAGGTAAACGAATGAAGGTGACGAAAAATATAGATGAAAAACAGAGTTTAAAAGAATATTGTGGAACATCTGGAAGTATATGCCGATCATTAAAAATCGGAAAAAGAAGGAGATAACTTGAAGATGCCGATTCGACAACGAAGCGGCCGGTTTTTGAACATAGACGAAAGCGTTTAGAGGAAATAGGAATTACCATCAGAAGGATACTACGTCGACAGGTAACGCACAAAGCAATTATAGCGAAGAACCAGCGGTTGAGTCAAACATAGGTGAAATTAGTTTCTAAAATATGGATTTGGTTTATAGAGGAAGTATAGTAAAAGAGGAACAAATAATTGCACCACGAGATGTTCCTCTTTCCTCCCGTGTCTTCCAGTCAATGGTTGAAACTGGTTTTTTGTTATCTCGGGGGATCTTGGTTTCTCATCAGTGAAATCGTTCGAGGATTCCGTTATTGATGCAGTTCCTCTTTGCTCCATAGCCACTGTGTCACATCAAAGTGGCTCCAAGTGCTGCCCGTTGCCGAATTATCGAAGAGTGTTAAAACAAAAACTTAAATCAATAATTATTTTAATAGAAACGTCAGGTGATTACGCAGTCCTTTAGAAAACGTGACATTTGTGTGCCACCCATACAAACACATAAACACAAGAAAGGAAAAGAACCTACGAGAACTTGATATATACCTGTTGCAGGATTCGATCAAGAGGAGCCACAAGAATTAGGTGCAGCAGAAGACAGATAGTCAGGGACAGAAGGCAAAACTGAGTGACGTAGTAATAATGATTTGTTTGATTAGTAACTCCCCCTTGTTGCCAGTCGTCGATCTCCAATCCCCCTATTCGAACTACATTGTTTGTGCCGGTTCACTATTGTGGAGCAAACGATAAGCAAGTGTGCAACTGCTACTAGTTCCTTTGTCCATTTTCAAACAGCTTACTGAGAATCCTTATAGAAAAGACGTATGTAGTAATATATGTAGGGGGGATTCATTTTGTGAAGAAGTGACTTACGAATACTGGACATGGATAAGAGCGTGATATACATTCGATGTATTTGCAAGGATTGGCTTTTGTTTCGAGGCATTACTTTCATGCTTTTCTGGTTCTTGCTGGCGCTTCGTTGCTCCTCAGATGTGCTACTTCGCTTTGCAATCAGTTTGATTTCGACCACAGTTGAAAACACCGTAAGACTAAGGGACTGATTTAACATGGCTTGCTGTAGCCGTAGTCATAGATAGAAGTTCAAACTGGCAACGCACGCCCATGCTGATAGGAACTGAAACTACTTTATGGCCGTTCTTGTTTGTTGATTTCAGCAGTAAAGATTACTTACTATCATACTTACAGTAATTACTTACCATCATGATGTATGTTGTTTGTAGAAGGGTCGCATGTCTATCCCTGTATGATATATTTTTTCGTTGTTTCTATCGGTTGTGCAATGTTACTAATTTCTACTTCCGTAGAGGAAAAAAAACGAAATAGTATCTGTGTGGGCGGTTGACATCGTCCATGGTGGGTGGCCCGATGGTCAGCAGGCCGATACGTACCTGCCATAGCAGTAGCTGTCCTGCTGGTGAAGCATCGACATCATTCTTTAATGTCCAACGAGTGTGCGTATACGTGGTTGAACCTATTCTTCAATGCTTTACATTTCCTTTTAATTACTTCCTCGTAGTCTTTTCGTGTGGTTGTTATTGCTGCTATGATGCGCATTAATCAAGATTGAGTCTATTAAAATTCTGAGGATTCGCTTTTGAGGGATTTGCTTCGTGAAGTTTGCTTATGGAAGTTCTCGTACAACTCAAATATTACTATTAGCCTCGCTACTATCATCAACTAGTTAGCTACCTACAAATTTCCGCTGTTCTGACTTTGCCTTATCTGCCGCCGCGGCCGTCGTCTATAGCGTTACGCTATCGTTGTCGCTAGTACGGCTAATGTTAATCTTTCACTGCGCAGCTTTCTGATTCTACTTAGGGTGAGCAGACTACCCCTGCGAAAAGGCAGTGGAGTAGATGACTGCTGCCTTCCCGTGCTGCTTTCTGTCCGTCCGGGATAAACGTGCGTCACGTTTTCGGTCACGCGTTGCTGTCTTAAGACACACACAGACACACCTCGGACATTGACATAGACCTTACTGGACAATTACGATCGGATATTCGTGGCTTATATAAATATGGAATAATCATGTATGTCAAGTCCCATGCCCAATAGTTGGCTACCAGGTAGCTTCCCGGTAATTTGTAAATACGGTACGGACAATTATAATGATGATGAAATGATTGAGAAAAATCATCTTCAAGTGTCACTGGATTGTTTTTTTTCAATAGTTATTTACAGGTCGATCTATTGTTGAAGTACATGTATTTGACTGTCAGCTGAATGCCATCTAATTTACGTGCACTACTTACTTTTTGACAAGGAAGAAAAAGATACACGTTTTCAGGCCTCGCGAGCAGAATTTACATATATATATATATACATACAATAGTCAATAAGGCTTGCAAGAACTAGAGAGGAGACGAGTGTTGGCAGCGTCAGTTAGCGGTCAAAAACACCTCGTAGATTAATAATATACAGTTTTATAAAAAAGTTCGTGCCGACTCCGAAAAATGAGATATACAGCATATAATACTACGACGGTGCTGTGCATAAAGGTCGTAGAACTAACGGAATCAGCGGCACGACGTAAGAGAAACAGGTCACAGCAGGTGCTATCAGGAGGGTACTTAACATGGTCACTATTTGTTTCTGTCTATGTAGCCGTTATTCATTCAGTGTCTCGATGTTCACGATTTCTCAATTGCCAGATCGATAACATTTAGTAACAAGTAGTACTTGAGCTAATAGACGATTCGTCAGTACAGCTTTCAATTGCATCTATCTCTGAGTAGATTATTATATTGCAAGCGTACTATGGTAATGCCATGACAGTGCGTAACAAAAGCTCTAGAACGTTGATTTTTTCCGTTCTATCACCGGTCAAATTAGTTGTTGCTGTTTCTCATTTAGGCATCAAAGTTGAAGAAAACGCCCTATCGTAACCATAACAAAAGTAACGCGTAGTTGACTGGGGGAAATTTCGATGACCACACCTTCGCAACATACAGATCGACTAAACTAGATAGTTTATATACCGACAATGTCGTTGTCATATGATATGTAGCTATCGCGCGCTAGATGGCTCGGTGTTTTCGATACGTGATGTTGCCCAGATGCCCCCGTCATGCCTATTTGGCATGACGGGGGCTCGTGTTTTTCGTTCGCGGAAAATACTACCGTTAGTCAAACTCACGATTAAGCTTTCGGGAATTGTGAAACGTATGGTTGTACACTACTGACAGCGAACGACCCTACAACTGAAATCTGTTGCAGAGATGAGCTTTCATTGTGCAGACTTTACGGCCTGTATTCAAAAAACCGAATGTATTGATCAGGTAAATAACTAGCGTTTTGTGCCGTCTTGCGTCAGTTGTGGACGCTTTTCAAGGACGTGTACGTGAGTATTATTAGTGAGTGTGGCAAGCGGAACTAGTTCACATGTCGGCTTTTCGCTCTTGTCCTAACTGCATAAACGGACCGCTATGCGATACCGTGCCCAGACGCATTTCCCCTAACGAGTATCTTTGTCACATAGAAGTACATAATGAGTTCTTCTCAATCTAGTTCTTTTTTGCTTTGCTTCAATCTTTTAGGTTAGCAGCAGCAGCAGCAGCAGCAACCCATAAAAGCAGACAGTAATATTCACAATGGACACAAGCACAAACGTGGGCAACATGCAACAAACATTAGCTGGAGTGTATAGTTGCCATTTGCCACTAAAGACAATGAACTATTTCGTACTGAACACGTCAATCACCGTAGGCGATTTTTACGCACAGCACATCGGCTGCAAGGGACATTACTTGCGGCCATATTGTTAACGTGTGGGCGAGCATCGTTGGCTTGCACTTGTTGCGCTCACAGATAATCCCGAATCCTACATTCCAAGAGGTTAGAGTGGAATCGCGTCACAGTAGCACGCTCATTGTTGTGCTGGATCTGCCTAAAGGTGGATTCAAGCAGGGTTTCTGCTATGTGGTCTCGTCAGATTATGTACCCAATAGTTGACAACGTCGTTCCACCAAAGATATCATCGTCGTCGTCGTCGTCGTCACGCTGAACTGATGCGGCAAGAGCTGCGA